TTTATGAAAATTTAATATTATTTATATAATATTAAATTTATTATTTATTATTATTTATTATTATTTATTTAATATTTATTTATTATTTTATATAATATATATTCTATTTGCTATATATACATTTATTTTGTATACATATATTTTCTCTTCTAATAATATATTATAACATTACTTTGGCTGTATTCAAATTATTAGAAGACAAAATTAATTTCTGCAATTGTTAGAATTCGGAGCTAATATATGTATTTCCCACAAAGCAACTAGACTTACAAAATTCATCTACACATTTCTGTCGTAACTATACATATAAAATTCACAGAATAATCAATATACATGTGGTATGGCAGAAATTTAAGGGTTAAGAACATTATTTTCAACATATTAACCCTTTGTATTCGAAGTTACTTCTACTCTAAAGACATAACATATTTTCTGGACTGCAATACTATTTCCATTCTCTACAATTGTTTTCATTTCCTACGTACAATATTATCCTCGATGATCCTACCATAGCTACATTTTTAACAATTGGTTTAACCCTTCGGGATCGGAGCCCCATTATAACCCGATACCTAAAATAGTTAGTCCGACCAGTATAGTATTTCCATTTTATATAACAATCTAGTGCATTTTGTACGTACGAAATTGAATTTTATGGTCCATGCAACAGTTACATTTTTAACAGTCGTTCAACCCTTTGTTCTCCAAGGTATCTTCTTCCTTTCATATCAAAATTTACTATAACGCAATGCAAGCATACTCCCGTATGTAACTTTGCAACCTAACTGTAACCAGAAACATTATAATTATTCTACGTACCACGTAAACTACTGTACCACACAATTGCGTAATTTACCACATAACTTATTCATGAATATAATGCGGATCATGAAAATGAACTATTGATGCAAACGCCAATGTCGAGTCTGACTCGACAGAGCAGTGCAAAGGGTTAAATATTAACAAATTTGATAATGTTAAAATTATTTTGGAACGTGATACGCCAATGTTTCAATGATGTCTCAGAGTCGCCATTCGAGTGCAGACTCGGTTCAAATTATTCAAAGACAAAATGTTGCAATTGTTACAATTGAGATAGAAAATTTGTATTTTCTGTAAGCAAGCTGCGCCAAGAAAATCCGTAAGGAATATTCCGGCCGGCAATTTCCTAAGAAATCTCGCCGAGTCGAGGAGCCGAGTTTCCCGGTGTAGGGTTAATGAAACCGCGTACAGGCTAGAGAGGACGGCCGCAACAATCGCCAGCAACTATCGAAGATCTCTCGATCGTCCTGGCAGTGGCAGAGCCTACTCGCAGCTTGATATGCGTCCGACGCGCGCCACGGAGCCCGCCTGCGTATGGACGCAGAATAAATTATCCCGAAGTCTGTCCCTCTCCTTTTTCCCCACTATATCGATCCTTTACTCCGTCTTTTTCTCTCTCTTTCTCTCTCTCTCTCACTCCTTCTCTCTGTTCCTCTCTCTCTATTTCTCGTCTCGAAGTCAGCCAGCTAGCAGCTTTCCTCGTCTCTTTCACCGACGAATCTTTCTCCCACCGGTGTTTATAGTGATTTCTCCTTGGTGGTGGTGGGACGATACCGGAAGTGAAGTCAGTACGGCGGAACCAGACGTTCACTCAATGGAAAGTTTGAGTTCTTTCAGTGGCGTCGAAGAAGGCCCGAGCGTGTATCGCGCGGAGTTCCTCTCGCGTGGAAAATCCGCTTCTTTCGAGCAGCCGGCCACGCACCAGGCGCATTCTTGCCCGCGACTCGCGCGTGCACGGAAGAAACTCGAAGAACCGGAGAAACTCTTGTTCGATCGAGATCTCGCGAGACCGCTTCTTCCTTCGCGCGTTTACGTCGTGTCGTGTCCTCGCCCTCCGAAAGGGCGCGCGTCGCGACTCCGAAAGATATCCGGGATATCAGCGTGAACACCACCGCACGTGTCTCCTCCAGTTCTTCCTCTGGTGCTTCCCCAAGTTGGCCTCTTATTACGGATTCGGCGTACGTCGCGCAGAGGAAAAAAACCTCCCCAGAATTTGTTAGAAACTATTCCTTGTCTCCTCCTACACCCTTCTCTCCTCGTGAGTGCAAGAAGAACACGCTGGAATCCTAGAAAAGGCTCGCAGGATGTCGGAAAAATTCCTGCAGATGTAGTTGTACAGTGTGCACTCCTCGAGGACTGCAGTGCTGCTTGTTGCTGCTCGAAAGTTGCTGGTTAAATAATTATTCGTAAGCTGTAGATTTTTGCATTGTAGACCGCCTTCTTGAGGACTATGGTATTGTTCGTTGCTGTCTTCTTTAAATCCCTAAGAACGCTATTTATAGAACGAAAACAGATTTTCAAGGTGGATCATAGATTCTAGTGAAATCCTAGCGTTGCCTCGGGTATTTGTCAAAGAATTCTAGCGAATGCAATTGTCGAGGTGTAAACTATCCTTTTGAAGACCGTTTGTCGCAGCTCGAAAGTTGTCAGTGTCGTTTTTAATGAAGCTTTGCAAGCTGTAGATTCTTTAGAGATCGCTGGAAAGGATGTGTCGAAGCTACAAATTCCAATGAATACAACTGCTGTATTGTAGAACGCCTTCTTGAGGAGTACAGTCTTGTCCGTTGTAGTCTTGGGACTTCTACTGACGCCATTTATACAACAAAAGCAGATCTTCAAGTTGAATTGCTGATTACAGTGATATCGTATATCTAGCTCGCAGGATTTCTCGGTGAAATCAAATATTAGTATTACTGTTTCTTGCTGCTCGAAGGTTACTAGTGATGCTATCATTAAAAGGGAGGAAGATTTGGAAGCTAACTGTTTTGTTTTAGTAAAATCACGAAAGAGGGTCGCAAGAAGTCCGGAATGAACATTCTCTCGGTCACTATTACAGCATTGTAGACTGTCTTTGTAAAATCTCTTATGGCAATGCTCACTCAAAATTGTTAATGGCACTGCTAATAACATTTAAACAGGTTTGCAAGCTAAATTGTAGATTACAGTGAAATCGTAGGAAACGACTGTAAGGGTCTCAGACATGAAGGTTCCAATGAATGAAATGGTTGCGTCGTAAACTGTCCTCTTGAGTACTGTAGTGCTGGGTAGTGTAGTTCAAAGATTGCTAGTGACACCGCTAATAATACAGAAACACTGATCTGCGAGCTAAACTGTAGATTTTAGTGGAATTGTAGGGAAGAGCTGCAATGATGTCGACCCTGAAAATCGTAATCGATGTAATTGCTCGGGTTGTATACCGTCCTCTTGGGGAACTGCAGCGCCGTTTACTGCAATTTAAAGATGCTGGTGTCACCGTTAATAGTACGAAAACAGATTTATAACCTGAATTAGATTTTAACGAGTTCGCGAGAAAGAGCTTTCAGTTGTTGATATTAAAACTTATAATCGACGCAGTTGTTGCATCGCATGCTTGGCGACTATTCTGCTGCGCGACTGCGGCGATGCCATTAACGAAATGAAAGCACATGCATTCGTAAACGGAATTGTAAATTTCGTTGATGGATCGCAGGAATTAAATTACAAATTACAATGTGTGATTTGGTCAGGGTTTTCTCTGTAATGCGCAGACAAGATGAAATAGCAATGAGACGAGAATCAGATCTTGCAATATTTTTCAGGCTAAGGTTGAGGAATAACTATTTAAGAAATTAACTTAATGAAAGAACTGAAATTAAGGAGATACGATTTGCAACAAGTAAAATTAGTATGCGTTACGAGATAAAGTGTTAGTAGCAAGAAGTGCTTTCATGATGCAGTGATTACTATGTTGAGAGAGATCGATTACGCGCAAGACACAATCGTAAAATATTTCAGTATTTTTTGACGGGAGACGAAGGTGAAATTTATTCATCGATTGAGACAATTCAAGGTTTAAGGAAATCGTTCGCTGTCGAGCGTGTGACAACGTGACAAAGTGCTGTCGAAAATATATTAAGTGGAACAAGTGTTCGCGGGTGTGAAAGAGAGGGTTTCGGTGCATTCTTCAGAGATGGTCAGCCAACACGCGATGGCCACCACCGTTCGCAAAGTCAAGCAGGAGAACCGTCTCAGGCGGCAAAATCAGAATCAAGGTACAGGAATATCGCAAATGTTTCGTCGAAAATTTATTTATGATCGGAACTGTCAACAGAAATCTTTTATACATTTTTTATATATATGATGTATCATTTATACATCATCGAAAACCTATAAGACTAAGACCGATCAATGTTAACATACAAGATAATCAAATGCGTATTAAATAATATTAACGTTTCCTTCCGAAATTGTTAATGTGCTAAAATTTTTTATATACATGGTACATCATAATGACACCATAAAATAATCGGAAAATTCTTGAACACTTCGTATAATGGCAGAAAATTATTCAAACTTACTAAAATTAACATAGAAGTTAATCGCGGTTATATTAAACAATATAAATGCTTTATTTCTGATAATGCCAATGCCTTCGAATCTTTGAAATATATAGTAATACACAATAAGATTATAAATTAATCGAGAAAAGTTTTAACTCTACGAGCAATCTTGAAAAATTCGTTAGACTTGTACTTAACGTAAAGGTAAATCAATTTATTTCTGAAACTGTTGGCGTTTTCATATTTTATAAATAAATAATTAAATATAACCTGGGCTTACGATGTTCACTGAATTGTGGCATTACAATACAGCTTTTGACATTATAGCTCCAAGATTAAATAAATTGAAAATCCGGCAATACTTCTATATTTAGCAAAAATTATTTTCCACTCGGGCCATTTTGCAACGTTTGCCGCTGTAAATAGTCAAATTGAGTTGGCTTGATACCTTTCAATTGCGCAACGTTTTCATTAAAATCGAGCGTTGATGAAACCGATGGAAAGTGAGCATCACAAGGAATGTTATTGCACATTTTATGTTTCTACCGAAGAATGCACGCTGCACCGCGCAATTCTGACACTACGTCAGTTTATGGTTACAAATTTTTTTCGCGAACTGCAGATAAACAGCGAACTCTTTGAAATAGATTGAGTGCCCACGAAATGAATGAAAAACTTAACGAATTCGTAATTTCGTAATTAGTAAACAGAATGGATTCGCAATGCAATAATTGCGTGATTGGAGAGTTCCCTTGCGCATTTTTCTACGCTATGGGTTTTGGTGTAACAAACTACACAGGAAATGTACGGAAATTTGAATTTACAAATATATTCATTATCTTCGTTACGGTAACGTTAATTATTTTCTTAGGGGGGAGAGACACCAACCTTAGACTAATTTTCCATAGCGGATACGTCGAAGTTCGCTGGAGCTAAATGCAGCTTCACGCGCAGCTGAGCATCAGCTTAATTACGATTAACTGTATACGATTAGCTTGCCTCCCAATTATTTTTTCATTAGGAATTAATTCCGGCCGTGCACCTTCGCCGGTGTTTTTAACGAAACTGTTAAAACGAATTTATTAAACGATGGAGATAAGCTGTCATATAAACACTTGAAATCTCTAAAAATAGTGGAACGATGGTCATTCCCGAATTCGAAATGTTTATGGATGCTAACACGTTTAGCTTATTCAGTATGAAAGTCGATGAAGTTGCATATTTGTTTAATTACTAGCATCGGTATATTTTATTTGTAAAATAATATTATTTATTTTATTTAAAGAACGAAACGAAATCTTTTTTTAGTTTTATGATTTTTGTTCTCGCAAGAGTCTGGACAAATTATGTTCCCGTTAAATACTATGTCAATGACGTAGCAATCTTATACAAATGTAATTATGATTGTTTATGACAGTCTTTTTACAAACAATAATATATATTATATATATATATATTATATAATATATTTTACAAACAATAAGTAAGAATATAATAAACTGTTTCTGTTCCTTAGAATCTGTTACAAGTTTCTGTATATTATTTCGTAAATGCCTTAATGTTTCTAGTATGAAATGTTATAACATTTCATTAATAATTTATTAATGTAATTAAAAGAATCTACTATAATCCTGAGCATCAATGTGGTCATTTAATTACTCGATTGCTGGCTATGAATTTAAAGTAGCTGCTTCACTAAGGATATTAGAAAGACTAACACGAAAGGAAAACTGTTCTCAAAAAATATATTTGAAAATAGTACCAAATGAAGAAACTGGAAACTAAAAACAATTAATAATAAATTTTATAATAAGTTGCATGCATTGATCAGTGAACACAACGTTCAAAACGCCCATTTTCATCCAGTTTATGTCAGAACTGATCTCTTTACTATAATATAAAGTAATGCATAGCCAACCATTGATCTGAGAATAATTATGATAATGTTTATGTAACACGACAAGGCATTAGAATAATGAAGATGGCGATAAAGGTTACCGTAACAAGGATAACTGAATCCTTTCTTAAGCAAGTGTCAAATTTTTCTCCTTTTACACTTTATAAAGAAATGAATGTATTTATTTAATACATATAAATATTAAGATATTTATATACATATCAAATAATAATAATATAAATATCTTAATATTTATATACACATAATTTATATATATATATATATATATATATAAATTAAGATATTTGACATGTTGAATAATTATAACATTTATAATGAAAAATGCTAAATTCCTTCGACCGTACCCCTTCGTCAACGTTACGTCACATTACTTAAAGTAACCACTAACTTTGATAAAAAATAACATTCTCAGACGAGGCTGTAAAATATCGAATAAATTGAATCCGTGTATACGAGCGCGATCGAGTGCCGGCGTGTTAGACAGCGGGGGCGTAGGATTAATGCAGCGACTAATTGTGTGCGAAATATGAATTTCAGATGAGGAGGGACTTTACAAGCCAGTACCACCACCGAAACCGGTGCCGAACAATCAGAAGAGCCAGAACGACCAGCAAGAGAATAGGGTGCAAACGGTAGCCGAGCAGCAATCGTCGCTTAGGGCCGCCATAGAAAGAAACGCCGGTCTCGACGACGGTCAGCTTCGCAGTTCCGGGCAGAACATTGCACCGGAATACAGGATGCCACCACTCTACGGGGAGGAGCAGAGTTCAAGTCAGACTCAACAGCCGGCTAACTTACAAACCCACAGTAGCAAATTTCCGGTATGTATTCAAATTGACCCCTAGATCCCGAAGCTATGATAATCTACATAAAGATCGACGTGGGACACGAACGATCCCCATGGAACTTTCGGTGATCTATTTTTGTACGTTCGCTTTATTTTCTAAGTGACAGTTGCGCTTAACTTACCACCGATCGTCGAATATCTGGGAAAATTGACTAGAACGATTGGTAACAGTTCAGTTACAATGTTAACATTTTTATGGTTCGTTAAATGAACAATCTTGTATGCGAGATTCCATTGTTGTGCTTGGAAACAAGTGTGGTGTTCATCAAGTTTTAGTAACTTTTTGAGATAATGCTTGCGATATTCATTTCATTTTGTTGATTGCGAACTTTGCTTTACTCAGCTTGTAGTTTTAATGAGACTGATACAATTAAATCGAACAATGAGTAATAGTTTTTAATATACATGACTTCTTATACGATGCTTGTACGCAATGATAAAATTTTTAAGCGGTGGATTTTGTTAATCAATATTAACGGTGGATTTTTGGTCATTAATATAGCGGTGGATTTTATGCAAATTGAAAAGATTCTGCATCAATTGCAAGATAGATAAGTCGAATATATATAGCTAAAAATATTGGCGTTCTAATATCTATTTAGTAATATTATTAAAGGAAAATATATATTATAATAAAAAGAAAAAATATATATATATTTTTTTTCCTTTAATAATATTACTAAATAGATATTAGACCGTCAATATTTTTAGATTCTTTTAATTTTTTTCACTGTTCTCAGTTTCATTTCAGTATCCATTCATTTCAAGTATCTATTTCACTATTCAAATGCATAAAATCCGCAGCCCAGTAATAACTAACGCATCTCTTAAATGCGAAATTTTATAAGAAGGTACGTTTACTATACACTCTTATATATCCAGATAGTGTCCAAATCCATCTAAAGCAGAGCACAATTTCCACAGCCGTGTATAAAATATTCATCGTAGTTAAATAAAAGTCCTGGTTTCTAATAACTAATTTGCGCCTTGAACAACAACGTTACTAATTCCACCGTAAATCCCGGACACAGGAACTCTCATAGAACGAATAGATAATTAATTATGCAAGAAACCGGGCAGCTGTTAAATCAAGATGCTCCAAAAAAAAGTGCGATTCCTTGGCCGTTAAGATTGCGGCGCTTATATTCATCGTAACGTTGCACGCGAGTTTCGGACAATACTGTTGCAATTCGCGTTACACGCGCGCGTTCGCTGCATTGGAAAGTGGCATAAATGTTTCATAAGGAAAGAACGGGGAGGAACAATTACGGGAGCCCGAGAAAGAATAATGTAGACGTGGATTGCTCGCGTTGCAATCGCGTTACGGACAGCGGCGGCGTGTTAATTAACGATGCAGGCTTCTGCATTAATTCGATCCGCGCGGAAAGCGTGCACAGATGTGCAACCAGGGTAGCCCGGCCGGCGCGGCGCGTAGAGTCACGCCTAAGCGGCAGGCTTCGAATCTTTTGTTATAGACGCCGTATAGGCGTGCCGTTGGATTTTATTACCGTCGATAACGCGGCTGGTCCCGAGGTGTAACAGACTGAATATGGCGATCCGAGTCCCGCGGACTTTGATGCGACCGGACTCGCCTCGGCGCGGCTGAAAAAAAACCGCAGCGCCGCGGTTAGGAGTCAAGGCGCAGCACTTTATTCGGTATGGTCTGCCGCGACTTTCTAGGCTTCTTCTGGCATCGCAGCCACGCGCGATTCCCTTTAATTGCACGTTTCTCCCGGTGAAATGCTTTATGGGCGATCGGGATCGTTGCAACTCGGTCCGCGACCTGAAATTCGGTTGCGTGCGACCGATGCAACGTTTCCTTCTGCGGACGAAACCGCGCGATGTAAAATTCTTTGATCGACCCAACGCAAATTCTACTGTCCGTTTATTTGTATTCGATTTGAATGTGGCCGCGTCAATTACGGAGTGATTGCTAGACTGCAGAATTTATGCATTTATGATAGAAATCTACTGGCGTATTTTTAAATAGTAGAACAATTTAAAGCATTTAAGAATTTTGATATATTATTTGCAACTCGTTAAGATTATTATAGGAGAAAAGGCATTTGATTTGGCTTGGTTACTGTGTCTCGCAATTGATACAGATTATTTTTGGTCTGCATAAAGAAGACTGCGGAATTTTATGCAAAACAGGAAGTGTCTGCATTAACCGCTGAACATCCTCGCTTTCTTTTACTCACTACTCCAAATTTCACCCATCCATTTGTGCCACGAGTGCATAAAATCAGCAGCGTACTAATGGCTATGGTATGAATTCTTAATGTAAATACTTTAATATAAATAATGGTTATAATATTTAGTGTATAATGCGTAATTATAGCGTGTCGAATAATGTAGGTTGAAATATATATAATATAATATATATAATAATAATAATATATACAATAGGCTTCCATACATCAATTTGTCAAGAAAAGAAGACGGTGTTATTACCACTTTTAATATAAATTTACAGATTTGAAGTTTCTTACGTTGTCGGCTTCGTTCAAATTCATCTTCAGATATTTCATGAATTTTTAAAACACTAACTTGGTTGATTTGAAAATGTTCGTTCGTGTGAAAAGTATCAAAATTACATTATTTTAAAACATAGAACAATTTCAGATTTGTCGTTTATTTTCTTCAAGAAAATATGATCACTGTGTCTGTCGCGTTAGTTGTCAGATCAGGAAGTTCGAGAAAATTTATTTCACACATTAACTGTCACACCAATCTTCATAAAAGACACATAAAATCAGAGTAACTTGTTTAACAACATAACTGTAAAATGACAAGATTTATTATACTTCCTACAACTCGTAGACCTTAAACAAGATTGGCTTACGTAATAAATCGTAATGAAAATAAATTTTCAAGTTTGATAATAAAATTGACGAAGTTTGTGAGTGATTCATATAATTTTTTTATTCTTTTTCTAAGTACAAAATTATGTACATGTATCCATCTGCGTGTTCACAAGCAACGATAAAATTTACTCAGTTTCATTAATTATTCAATCTCCATTTCTATGAACATAATCATGCCATTTTCTTAACGACATACCATATTTCAATTAGCTGTAATTATAAAAACCCAATGGATTTAGATTGAACGATTCGTAATGATTTTCCAATACTTTTGTCCCATTAAAAAATTGCGTCAATGATCCCATTAAAATGCTTGCACACAATTATGCAGCTCAATTAATTTTATTAATTCTTCAAACTCATGTCTACTTCGTTAAGAGCAGCAGAATGAAGTTGTACAATCGGTAACAATTTCCTCATCCGTTTTTCAAGTATTACGCAACTAATTGATCACACGAGTTATTACACGGCCGTAAAATGGAATTCAGAATTTCCATATCGTAGGGCCGAAATGTTACGAGGGAGAATTTAATTGACACGATAGGTTGTTCGCTGGAAGTTGAGAAGCTCTTGTGTCTCGTTTGCAACCGAGGCTTTCACTGAAGATATCAAGATGCTATATAAGTAAGGAGAGTACTAATTTTGCTGGATGTTGGTTTTTCCGCGTCGGTACCGAGAATCGCCAACTCGTTCTGCGGCCGCATCCGTTAACGGAGGAAGAACTATGCGATGTGAAGAGTGCAGAGCAAATTCCGCGGAACAATTGGTCAGAAGAATCAGAGAACTCCGGCAATACAATGCTGCCTAACGATTCCGTGAAATATTCACCATCTACTACTAAAAACGGTGCAACTTTCAGCATTCCATTAACGCTTCCCTCTGTAAAAAACGGCTGTTTGCATCTGAGAAGTGCATCTTCCTGCGTGTATGCAAAATGCAAAAGTCACGCTGCTATGAACATCTGAAATGCAATTTTTCTATGCGTACGAAAATACAAATCTTTATAAATTTGAAAACTATACACTTACCGACAAAATTTAAGACGCATATTCTTGAGTATAATAAATCATTTTAACGTAGGATACAAATTTGTATCGTGTTAACCAGAATATTAATTTTCTTTTTCTTTTCTTTTTATTATTATTATTTGTTATTTGTTGTGTGCACTAAATAAAACAATATTGCCGCATAAACAATATAATATGAACTTTTAATTTAATAAGACGTATATTTATTAAAATATCAAATTTTATTGAAATGTTAACCATGTGTAAAGTTAATTTACGCTTAAAATAATGTACACGACAAATTAATTCTTGTCGTAGAGCGTGAGAATGTTGAAAAAGTAATCAACATCATAAAACTCAGCTTCTCAATATTAATTTGTTTAAATAAAACACTTCAATTGTATGAAATCTTTGAGCTCGTTGACGGGGCGGTCGAAGTGTTGTATGTTACGTCACTCCCACGAGAATTTGGAGACGTCAGTCAGAATATTTTCGGTCTCCCATTGTTTTTTCACGTTCTCTTGATTACGTAAGTTTTGCGAGGTTGCGTATAAAAAGTACATTATCATTAAAAAGCCTGAAGCAATTTCTCTCGAACAATGCACGCGTATTTTATTCGTCTGACGCTTCTCACAAATGTATCTCCGTCATCGCACACGTTCCTAATTTTTGCAAGTAAGCAACGGTGTCTGCGAGGAAGCGTAAAAATTCCCGTCACAAATTAAACGAACCGGGGAACACAATAGATGACTTGCTCAAAGACAGATCTTTGTCCTTTGTCTTTAAGGGTAATGAAAAATGGATCGGTGGATTCATTAGGTTTAAATTGGTTCAGCTGAATCTTATCGAACGACCGTGGAAGTTCGAAATTTATGATACAATTATACGTGTCTTTCCATTGTTATCTATTCCATTGTATGAAAACGGAATTTATTTATTCCGCGAAGAGGATGTGCTAGCGTTTTACCGTTTTTTTTTCAGTGAACTGGAACTCCGATGACGAATGCATTAATACATTCGTGTAAGGACAAGAATTTGACGATAGATTGTCGAATACACTCGATTCTGCTATATAGGTCAGTGCATCGCTAATATCTGGG